AAATATAAATGTTGCATATTTCCAAAACACAAAATACTTCAACATTTTCATAAATGGTCACTTATTGGCTGCATGAGATGAACACAAGAATGCCTCTATGTGTAAACTTAAATATTTAACATATTTAAGTTTACATATATGAATGTGTGTGTGATTCATAACTTAAAAATTATTGGACTTTGAAACCCACTGAATAAATTGTAACAACTTTGCATAGTTGGTCCCAGAATTTCATTAATGTTCATATTTTTTATTATAGATTCAGACTGCTATTTGTGAGTGCCCTGGTGGATCTAATCCTGCAAGTTGCAAGCATGTTTTTGCATTGCTTTATGCATTAGTTGATTATAGTCAAAAAAAAAATTATATGAAGCCCCAACTGAACAGCTACAAAAATGGCATCAACCAAGGCCAAAACTCTTATCACCAAAAAAGAGTTCAGATATATTTAAGCCACATGCTTCCAATTATTCAACCACGAATTCTGTTAACTTTTCAGCACTTTTTGGAGAAAACTGTAATTTCCCAATATTCTCTGTACTGGAATGTACAGACCATCTATTTCAAGTCGGAACAATTCCCCTACCTGCATTGGTATGTACCAGGATAAATATTGAAATGCCCGATTTCTTAAATATAGAAGAGGTGCTTTACTTTCATCAAAACATAAAATGTAGCCTAGAAGAAGCATGGGAGATAGAGCTTAAAACTACAGAACAGAGTGAGAGCAATTTGTGGAAGAACCACCGTCAGATAAGACTAACAGCTTCTGCCTTTCATAGTATTGCTCACAGGATGGCAGACTTTGATACACTGGCAGCAAATATATACAGAAATCATGAAAAAGACCTCAGCAAATTGCCAGCAGTCTCATTTGGTTCCAGACATGAAAGTGTTATTAGAAATTTTATCAGGAGCCAAAATGAATCTTATATTTTGAGAAAAGTTGGGGTTGTTACCAACCCACGTATTCCATTTTTGTGTGCATCACCTGATGGCTTACTTTTTAACAAAGAAAATGTTCGGCTTGTCGAAATAAAATGCTGTTACAATCCTGAAAATGTTGAGCTGAATCAGCTTGCCAAAAGACCAAATTTTTGTTTATACAATGTAGATGGAATTTGGAAGCTTAAAACAACTCATGCATACTTTTATCAGATTCAAGGGCAATTAGCGATAAGTAATTTAACAGAATGCCAGTTTACTTTTTATTACAAATATCCAAATTATATTCATACACAGATTATACATTTTGATCCTGTATTTTGGAATAATTTGAAACAACAACTTAAAAATTTTTATTTTAATCATTACATTAAGTTCTGTTTAAGATGTTAAATTTTATCTTGGCAGTATATCTGAAATCTCATATATACATTGTGAGCAATATACTATTATTGACATGTTCTAGCTGTAAAAAGAATTATATAAATATGTAACTTGCCTTTATGTATAAAAGCAGGCAACAATGAGCTGTTGGTAACAGTGATACCCCCACAGTATAGTGGATAATAGAGAATTTGTTCTCGGGGACCTGCATACCATTTTACATTAAGGCTGTAATTACTTTAAATAATCATCAATAATTGATCATTCTTTCATCAAGCCTTTGGTGGACTTAACTCATTTAAGGTATAATTATGTATTGGGATCAGTATGAAATCAATATTTCCTTAGCATGTTTGATGTGACTGAAAACTAGCTAAATTTCTTACAACTTTAGCTCTTTGATTTAAATCATTGGAAAAAGGAATTTGACCATTTCTTAAAATCTGATGTGATACTTAACAAATCTTACTAATAAAATAATTCAGTTAAAATGGATCTATAAGGTGCACAGACTGATATTGTTTTCTATATGAAAGAGTTTAAAATAAATCAAATTACAAGCTGTAACACAATGGCCAATACAGTACAAAGTCCGAAATCTGGACTCGTCGGGACCTTGGCGATTCTGGATTTGGGATTTTTCCGGATATCAGATCATCAATTTAAATCTGGTGAGACGGGATGCAGAAATTATACAATTAAAAATATGAATTCATAATTTATGAAATAAAGAACAATTATGGTTAAACAAAAGGGTATCAAAATTTACAAAAAAAAAGCTTAATATTTATTTGTTTACTCTATTAAGGCTTTATCTAGGGGCGGCGCTAGATACCGCCTGGTGCAGTCTGTACGGGTCCTAAATTCTGCTACAAAGCGCCTATTTAAGTTATAAATTTTCACCGCGCCTAAACTTTGGATCCCAGGTGCTTTCCCTAAATCATAAAAAACTTCTCATCCCTTAATTTTGCCACTTGGTGCTTCCCCAAATTCCAAAAATTTTGTCTTCCCTAAATTCTGCTGCCGCTTCTGGGTTTATGGTGAGTAACATATCAGTTATTCTTAATTAAAATAGCACTAAATGTAATCCTTTGGCCTAAGAGTTTCATTAACAAAATCTATTTTTAGCATATGAAAAGAAATTTTTGTTAAATTTTTCTTTGTCAACATTTCTTAAAGCATTTAAAAATCTATAATCATCGCCAAGCATAATGTTAGCATAAAAGGTTGCCATACTCTTGTTATTCAATTACTAATATATATGAAAAAGAAAAGTTTAGACATCACTGCACGAGTTATTACTGAAGCTGCCATGTATTGATAAACATGCGGTGATGAAAGCAAAATATAATGAATAATGACTCGCCAGATCGCTGTTGGTGATATAAAATAGGTGAATGTTTGATTTGAGATGTATGCTAAGCAGATACTCAACTAAGGATCCAAATTATTAATCTCACAAATTTATGCTTACATGATTGTTTTTCCATGAGGTATTTTTTTAGTGCCTAAGTGAAATTAACAATCGGAATTTTTAAGTGAAAATCTCCACGTTTTATTACGGAAGGAAAAATCAAATGCGTATGCGTAAAGTATACCCCCCCCAAAAAAAAATGTTCGTGGCTTTAAGGTCCGGATTTCGGACTTTGTATTATACTTGAACCGAGAAAGTGTAAGTAATGACCATACTTTTTACTATTGCCATCGCACATACATAGTTTGCTACTTGCCACTGACATAGAAGACTCTGCTTGGTCTTCTGCTGCCATAGCCCATTAAAACCAAATTTCCTACCAGACATGTCTATCATACATCCCACATTGATTTCTGCAGTTATTTCATGCAGTGTTGTTTCAGTCATTAAGTGCAGGTGATTGGCCACTGTGTCCATGATGGGAGGTTATACCTGAACTTACGTATTCCCGGCACGTTCTTGTTACCTCTCTATGTTGAATTCCCTAATTTCCAAAATGGAATGTCCCATGCATCTAGCTCCAACTACCATTCCATGCTTAGAGTCTGTTAATTCCCACTGTGTGGCTATAATCACACTGAAAACTTTTTTACATGAATAACTTGAATACAAACAAAAGCCCTGCCAATTTGCCCCATTTATACATATATCAGTGTATATATATTATACACACCCTGTATAAGTTCACTCTCCTACATTTGAGAAACATTTTTGGGAAAACAAACTTGTTGAGCAATGCCATTGCCACTAATAAAAACAACATTCCAATGTTCACAATAAAATTTAATTCACGATTTAGTGAATTTTTTTAATTTCCATTTTAGCAGATAATAAGCCTCACTTGGATAGACTGCGCCATCTTCTCTGCCATCATCAAATTCTATGTTACAGTTACTGATTCGATATGGTTTTATTAACTAAAGAGCGCCTCACAGATATCGTACAGATTGAATTGGTCTGCGACATCAGATGTTGAATTTAAAAAAAAAAAAAAAAAAAAAAACATAAATTAAAAAAAAATTACTGCATGAACGATATATTTAATAATCAAGTTCTCCGACGTGCCATCAATCGGCGGCAATGCCGCTGGATATATTTTTAGGTTCTGTGTATAAGTCGACCCCCTACTATGAACTTTGATTTTTTTCTTAAAATTTGTCACTTATATGCGAGTATATACAGTATATACATAGCAATAAAACAAATCAATAAATAATCTTTGGATTATGGTAACTTGGCAAAAATTTGGCAACCAACCCCGCTACAGCAACCTGCTAGTTTTGTTTTGGACGCCATTTTGTTTTCATGAAGTAAAGGCATGTTTTTTTTTTTTTTTTTTTTTACTCAACATTTTTTCCAACAATCTGCTAGCCGAATTACGCTTATACTAGAACTTTTATGGAACAAAAATGCTTAATCATGACGAAGATTAGGTGCGAAATTGGGAGAAAAGTGCAGAATCGCCCACTGCTTGGTGCGTTTTTAAGAATTGCACATACTCGGTATCCATGTACATGTCAACCTATTTTCACTTAAAAAAACATCCCAGAATTACACAAAAATGGCATTGCGCACACTCTTGACTTTATCCATGTACAGTGCTAAAGTCCTAGCTAGTAACCTTTATCGCCTTACCAAAATGTCGCCAAACTACTTGTTACCATATTCCAAAGATTAGCCATATAAATGTATTACTGGTTGAAATTTCACTGGAATTTGCTTTATCAAAGTTATGTTGCTAATATGGAAGGAGTTCTGATGATGTGTTTATTTGTGTTAATTTTTATATTGCACCTCTGATTTATTATTTATATTATACAATTATTTTCCTTGTTCTATACATGCATATCGAAATTTACATTTCTCATAGAGCGGCGATAATAAAACTAAATACAATGGTAGAATAATGATAATACATTTTTATCTTCAAATGACTGATGATCTATGTTAATTTTTTCATTATATAACAAAAGAATATGAAACTACTTTTTAAAATTAATCATTTTATATAAGATTTTAAAAAGTACACAGATTTATAAAACAAAAAATATTTCCATTAACAAATGGTATGAAGTAAAATATATGTACACATATTTGGGAATACATTAACCATCTAACTATTTTTTTTTTTTTTTTTTTTCAGAATTTAATGGTAAAACATTTATCAGAGGTTTATTAAAATTCGTTAAAAATGCAACAATAAAAAACACCTCATTTAAATTATGTAGGCTATTATATGGAATAGCTCCCTCAAAATAGCGGAATATTTTTATTCTTCCTATTGCCCGTTCAATATGCACTCTTTTATTGGAAATAGCTTTATTTTCACTTCTTTGTTCAAGAGTGAACTGAATGTTTCCTTTCAAAAAGTGCGGTATTTTTAAATGACACCCTTTTCTTAGATAATTCTGAATTAATTGTAAATCCTTTATCAGCTAATACTAAATCTCCTTCCTCGAGCAAATCAAGTAACTGACTTTTTAAAAAGAGAGCTTTATCTGATATTGCACCACACCACAAATCTGAAATAAAGGTGACTGCTCCAGAAGGAGAGATGCCGACTAGTGCTTTCAGCGTATTGGCATTTTTGTAGTAGCTGAAAGTTAGTTGCTGTTCTGTAGGATTGCATGGCCTCTGTATTTCGAGCTCTGTGCAATCAATGATTACTCGGCAATTTGGATATTGATGTAAGAATTGCAGAGGCATGAACTCTTTAACTTGGGCCTTTTTTGGCCATATATTCACACATTTAAGCTTAGTAGAAACAATTCTCGTTACACAATTGAAAATCTTTGAAACTGTAGAAGAAGCTATCTTAAAAATTATTCCTAGGAATTCATTTGTGGTTCCAGTTCGAATTTTCACTAGAAACATGAAAAATTGATCAATAGGTGGCATTCTATCTTTCTTTAACAAATCTTCCGATAAATTTAAAAAGTTGAATATTGTCATAAACGTCTCATGAGAGAAACCTGTTACGCATTTCATGTTTACTTTTATCCTCTCATTAGCTGAAGAAAACACATTCAATAAAACATTATTTTGTGCAGCATCCAATTGGTCTCTCATTTGACAAAATTCGTTTAAAATTAACAAAAAAGACTCGTCAGTTTGTGATGATACTGTCTTCCTTATGCAAACAGGAATATTTGCTCTGAAAAGGAAAAGAAAATATGTACTGTAATAAATAGTTTGACAGTTTAAATAAAACAAAAGTTCTAATATTAAAATAAATACTTTTCTTCAATAGTAATGTCCAAAATTTAAAGCATGAATTGCAGCTCCTACACCACAGAATAGTTATGGTTGATTTCAACCATAACTATTCTGTGGTTATGGAATTGGTGAATAGGAATTTTCCTAATCAGCAATTAGTCAAGCAATATGCTTTTTTTTTTTTTTTTTTTTTTTCATTTTCTTTTTTTAATGTTGTGATAGACAGGCAAACAACATTCATAGTCATATTATTGCTATTTTTTTAAATATATTTACAATTTCTAGATATTATACATGAAAATTTCAAGACGGTATATATGTAACTAAGGATGGGTTATATTCAATATTATAAAAAAATATATTGTAGACAACAAGCTCCAAGACCAAAATAAATGCATAAGTGTCCTTTTAATAATTTGAAAAATAAAGATAATAATGAAAGAAAGAAATAATAAAAGAAAACAGTGCTTTTAATAATTTGGGAATAAATATATGTATAAAATACAGGTACTCAACTGGGTATAAAGTATATATGTTATGAATAACAATCCCCTTCCCCCATTTTGGTGACACTACACCATGCTACACGTTGCAAACATCTAATTTATCACTTGCATCTAGCTAAAGTACCAAAATAACTGATAAATTTAAAATATCTGACTACAAGTATAAATAACGTTTTATTATGAAAAGACATTTCTAAAATATCTATTCTGATTACAGTACAACAACTTAATAAAAAAATGCATTCTCTTAGCTAGAAAGGTATCAATGTAACTGATTTAGGTACTTTTCCATTATGCACTTGCCATGCATTTTGATGTGTATGTGTGAATAACAGAAAAATGAGGTATGTGTGTACACATATACCACTTCGCACACACACACCAAAATTTGCATGGCAGATATATAACAGAAAAGTTCTCTCATTTATTTGGCATTCTTTTGTTGAACTATTTAAATACTTTTGTAATATATAGAATTCTTTATTAAAGCAGTTCCCAAGACTGAATCACTAATCAACTGAAACATCTCATTGAAATCTTTCCACATATTTCTCATACCTCATTACATGTTACATCTTGGTTGATTAGTAATTAAATTTGGGGGACATTTTACTAAATTTTCAATTTTTTTGTGAAACTTTTACATGCAAATAAACATAAGGTATACAAAATAGAGGACGAACTAACAATAAAAATTATTTTTAAATCAGCAATACTGAAGCATTTAGAAGCTTAAAATTTCTATGTAGTAAGCTATTTGCAAGGATAAACTTAAGGCTAGCGTCTAATATGATACCTTACAATGTGATGCTAGTAATCAGAATCTGGTGAAGTAAATAATAACAACCCAGAAATCAAATTCAATGAATTTATTAAAAAGTATTATTAGCAGTGGTAAAAACTGAAGTAAGAAAACACCAAAGAAATAAGCATAGAAAGTGTCATATTATAGAAATAAGTATTAAAATTAGGTGGAAACCTCGCTAACTGCTTCGTCAGTGAAGTGTCTACCAAAGTTGTAAGAATTGAAGTAAGAAACATGATAAAAGAATAAAACAACAAGTCCTTAACACATAAGCAATAAAAACCCTGTCAAATACGAAATAATATGTATCATGCCATAGACAGCAATTAAGTTGCGATCAAGGCAATTTTCATTTCGAAAACTATCAGCTGCAAAAAACATTGAAACAGGAAGAAAGTAATTAAATTTCATAGCACACCAATTATGCTTTTATCTTTTTCTAAAACCAAAAGTGTAGAAAATTAAAAAAAAAAAAAAAAAAAATACAATCTTTAGTTTTCACATACAAATGCTCTATGTATTTCTGATAAAACTAGTAGATAAATACTTTTCTCTTGAACTTTCCTGTGATGGTTCACCAAATACATAACTAGTTCGCTTACGAGTGGTTCCTTTAGTCGAAATAAAAATAAATTTCGTTGGCACAGCATCTGCCTTTAATGACCTCCTGTTCGTGAATGGCTGGTATGTGAAACATTCTTCTTCAAAATGTTCAGAGCAAATTCTGGTAGTGGGGGTTGGATTGAAGTTTTCCCTTTTTATTCTTACTATCCACTCTTTACGCAGATTTTCATCCTTAGGAAACAGATGGAAGGAAATCTTATTTTCTTTACATCTGTCTTTCATATTGTTATTTGAACAACCGTATGCACAACATGTAGTAGGCATTGTCAACACTCAAAAACTGGAAATGTAAACAGGAATTTAGAAATCAAACTAAAGATTAAAACTATAATGGGAAAATGATAAATGAATTATCAGATCAAGGAAAGAATTCATAAATAAATATTAACAATCAGAACATGGTAAAGCAGCGAACAAGAGAGTATCATGAAGATAACAATAACATATAAGAGTGGCAAAAATTATACTAACCAAATGAATGAACAGTTAATTAACGTTTGAAATAATACTTAAAACTGAAATGCAAATTTCATAACTAATTAAAAATAAACAAAGTTTCCGATTTTTCAACACAGCTACAACAGCACAAGCTTGTTTGTTTACATTAGCAGTCCTTACATCACGTGACCTCCGACGTCACCGGAATGTATCTCATTGCATTCAATAACAGGGATGTTATTTTACATCTTAATGGATTTATTATGCAGAAAAATCTGAGGAGAGTCCTTTAATTACAATTCGGGGGCATTTCTCAGCATTCAGCATAAATGTGTGGAAAGGAATGTTTGTCATTAGAGAAAAAAGGAAGAGAATGGACACAGTGACAGAGATATCAGAATCATATGAAACTTCAAGTAAATGAGAGAAAATATTCATATAAATATAACTGTGGCAGCTAAAGACATCTACAATGTTATCACGAACGGAAGTAAAAGAAAGATTTTGCTTTCCCCCCCTCACTTCTCTACTATTTCTCTCTTCTTGACCAAACAAGTTTCATGTTACAAATGGATCATCTGAAAACTGAAGTAGGAGTAAATTACAGGTCAGATTTCAGAAATATCACTGATGCAATTAGTCTTCTACAATTTATTTCAGAAAATAACTACAGTACAAAGTCCCTAATCTTGACGTCCATTATCAGGAATGATCTATAATCTGGACTTCAAAGCCACAAACTTACGCATGCGCGTAAAGCGTTTACACATACGCGCTTCCGTTAGTGAAGAAAGTGACAGAGAAGTTACTGAAAACGAAAAAATGGTTAATCTTCGGATTATGGTAACTTGGCGATTTATTGGCGAAAATTGGCGACCAACCCTGCTACAGCAACCTGCTAGTTTTGTTTTGGACGCCATTTTGTTTTCACGAAGTAAAAGCATGTTTTTTTTTTTAACTCAAAATTTTTTCCAACAATCTGCTAGCTGAATTATGCTTATACTAGGACTTTTATGGAACAAAAATGCTTAATCATGACGAAGATTAGGTGCGAAATTGGGAGAAAGTGCAGAATCGCAAACTGCTTGCCGCGTTTTTAAGAACTGCACGTACACGGTATCCATGTACACGTTGACCTATTTTCTCTTAAAAAAAATCCCAGAATTGCACAAAAATGGCATTGCGCACACTCTTGACTTTATCCATGCACACTGTTAAGTCCTAGCTAGTAACCTTTATCGCCTTACCAAAATGTCACCAAACTACCTGTTACCATATTCCAAAGATTAGCCGAAAAAATTTCGATTGACAAATTAGTCGGTATTCTCGACACAGCAATTACAGGACTTGAACAGTGGAACAGTTCAGTTACTTGAACAGTAACTGAACAAGAAATTAAGAATCTGTTTATAGAATTAAAGAGAAAGTATTAGCACAAAAAAACGAAGCAACTTAAACAACTTACATTGAAAGAAATGTTTAATAAAGTAAACAAATAAAATATTAAGTTTTTTTTTTGTAAATTTTGATACCTTTTAGATCATAATTGCTCTTTATTTCAAAAATTATGGTTTCATATTTTTAATTGTATAATTTCTGCATGCCATCTTACCAGATTTAAATTGATGATCTATAACCCGGAAAAACCCGTAATCCGGAATTGCTTAGGTCCCTAAGTGTCCGGATTATGGACTTTGTACTGTATATATTTTCAGAGACCTACAAACTGTTGCTAATTATTATTACTATTTCAGTGACCTCTGCTGAAGCCAAGAGATGCTTAACTCTAAAGGCTCAGGTGCGAAGCAAGTTAAATCAGGCCCCTGGGCATAAGCTGCATCCTGCGTATAACATGGTATGGAATGGCATAACTTCCCTACCATAACATGGCATAGATCTTAAATAAGAATAAATCTCATGAATTGCAGTGATGAGCCTTGCACAGATACAAAACATCAATTCAGTTACTCCGGCGTCGATATCTGGTGGTGTAGAAATGCAATTTAGCTAATGTGGCAGAAATTATAGCAATATGAGGGATATCTAAGTTGTCACATGCTACTGTCTTGACTTAACTCTAAAATGAATTAAGACACTTTTAAGAAGCACTACGAGCAAGGTCAGACTAAGCACTCTAGCCATGATCTCAATTGAAAAGGCATGATAAATCACATAGCTAAATTCAATGAAAAGGTTATTGATTTATTTGCCCCAAAATATGACAGATGAGTAGATCAATTTACAAAAATTGTACTTGACCGTTTTCTAATCACAGTTCAAAGATATAGAGTAAACAATATTACAGATTTATTATAGTCTATTGTAAGAAATAAAATACTACAATTTTTTTGCCAATGGCAACATTTCTTTTAGTTGCATTCTTTTCCTTTAATTTGAAGAAGTGCAAATGTAATTTGACTTGTAAATTTTGTTGTATCTGCAAATTTAATTTTTTTAATTTATTTTGTAAACCTCCATTTAAATAACCCATGAACCGCCACGGCATTTAGTACTTGCATTTTTACTTTTAAAGTGCTATATCTCTGCTTTAAATTTTTTCTACCATTCAAAATACAGTACAAAGTCTGTAATCTGGACTCGTCAGGACTTCGGCGATTCCGGATTAGGGTTTTTTTCGGATGATAGATCATCAGTTTAAATCTGGTTCGATGGCATGCAGAAATTATACAATTAAAAATATGAAATCGTAATTTATGAGATAAAGAA